GGAAGTTGTGCGAGGAAGAAAACATCTTCTAAATCGCACAGTGGTGGATCGCCAATCATCTAGATGGTGTGGATGGTATCGGGAGTTCTGCCGCGATGTGCGTTCGTGAAATTTGGCGGCTGGGATTAATCCGAACAATTCCTCAGAGCACTCCCCATGGTAAATGCGAAAGAAAATGCTAAGAGATGCAACATCTCTTCGCAGTGCCAATGAGTCGAGCCGATCGGAAAGGACTCGGTCGTCGACGATTCGAGCCGCTCTGCGCTGGATGCGGTCAAGTGGAAGGAGCTGGCACTGGGGAGCCCAGAGATGGGAACAGTATTCCATGTGAGGCCGAACCTGCGCCTTGTAAAGTTGCAGGCGTTGAGCCGGCATGAAATACTGTCCCGCTCTACTGAGCACGCCAAGCTTTTTAGAGGCCAATTTGGCCTTCTCTTCCAAGTGACCACGAAACTGCACGTTACTCGATATGTCGACGCCGAGGATTCCGATACTGGCTGAGGCAACAAGGGGAGTACCTTGAAACTGAGGAGATACGACAAAGGGGTTCTTTTTAGCGGTAAACGCGCAAACTTGTGTCTTCTGAGAATTAAACTGGACTAGATTTAGTCGCCCCCAATCCGAGACTTTGTCCAGCAAAGACTCGACTTCAGACACAATTTTGTTCCGGTACTCGGTGACGTTTTCCCGAGAAATATTGGCACGGCCGGTGAATAGAGCATCACCAGTGCTGTCATCCGCATAGCAATGAATGCTACTGGCTTGCAACATATCATTGATATGCAGAAGAAACAGCGTTGGTGATAGCACGCAGCCTTGTGGAACACCAAAGTTAATAGGCTTGTAGTCGGAGCATGCACCGTCTACAACTTTTTAGGTTTTAAATCATAGATTGCTTTATGGCCCTCTTCTGTAAAACAAATATAATTTCAGTGTCAGCCATGTGTCCCCATTGCAAAATATCATACGATGTTATGCTATGGAAATAGCTAAAGTAAACAAGTCTAGCTGTTTCAACACTGGTAAGATTTTTAATCTTTTTTACAGCATATGCTGCAGAACTAAGCCTGCTTGCTAGTTTTGATATATGTGGGCTCCATTGAAGCTTTGTGTCTAGTGTGATTCCCTGAAAAATGGTGGTATTGACAAGACTCAGTTCTTCCCCATTTAAAATTACATTAGTATTTAATTGCTTTACATTTGGAGTCATTCATTTCATACATTATGTTTTAATGCAATTTAAATGCAAATTACTAACATTAAATCAATTTACTAATTTAGATATAGCATTATTTACTTCATCATATTTTAGTAATTGTTGTCTTAATTTGAAAATTAAAGAAGTGTCATCAGCAAATAATACTATATCATGTTAATCCCCTACTATGTAAGGCAAGTCATGAATGAATACAAGAAACAGAAAGGGGTCGAGAATTGAGCCTTGAGGCACACCCATTTGTACCATCGACCCAAAAGAGCTCATACTGTTAATGACAACTTTTTGCGTTCTGTTACTTAAATATGAAATAATTAATTTAAGAGCATCACTTCTTACACCGTAGTGTTGAAGTTTCCTGATTAATGTTTCATGGTGAACAAAATTGAAGGGCTTGGATAGGTCACAAAATATACCCCAAGCAGGCCATAAGATCAATTTATGATTTGAAGCCTAAAGAGTCGCTATGACAAAAATTTAAGGAAATTAATATATTAAGTTTGGCCTCTCAATACATTTATGAAAATGTAATGTACATACACAAAAATAAAAGTAGTTTTACAAAAATAAGTGATATTCATTCTCTTAATAGTTTGAACAGATATAAGCTAGTAGAACCAGTTACTTGACTCCACCGAGTCAGTAATTCATTCTTGGGGTGATGTATACGCTTTTACAACAAAATTCCAGAAAATATATAAAATTTGACCGGCTCAAAGTTCAAAAACTTTATTATACTAACTACTTGACCGTCCACGGTGACTACAGTCCCCAAAAAGCATTATTGCCTCACCTGTCCATGGTGACTATAGTCACCAAACGACATCTTTCGGTTTAAACATGTACAGCGCAAAAGATAGCTCTTATTAATACAGTAAAAAAGTAAAAAAAGTTTTGTGGAATGTTAAAGTGTGAGAAATTCAGTCAAAAATGTGATAACTTTTCTGTTTTTATACGTTATGTCTAATGTTATTGTACATCAAACTAATTGTGAAGACATTTTCTTTAGTAAATATGTATCATTATGACAATTCCAAAACATTTACATATAATAATATAGCTCAAAATTTTAATCACTATACGCAATCATCGTTTATTGATTATATGTTGTTTAAAATGTATTCTAATCAGTTTTTTGTGTTAAATGAATGCTAAATATATAATTTAAAATTAAAAATTTTGTACAGCCGACTTCAATAAAGTTATTAAGAATAACTCAAAAACTATTGGTCTGACCTTGATCAAATTTATGTGAGACCACACGAGAAGTACCAGCTTTCAAACAAAAAAAAAAGAATCATCGAAATCGGTTCACCCAGTAACAAGTTATGAGGTAACACACATTAAAAAAAACATACAGTCGCCTTGAGTACCATCTCCTTTTTGGAAGTCGGCAGAAAAGAATGATTCACTATTAACACATTGATAGCAATTTATACACGAAATTTATATCTGTTGAGATGTGTCTAGAAATTATTAAAACTTATTTTTATTTATTTATTTATTCAAATTTATATTGGGTAAACAATATATACTTATGTATATTGAGTATATAAGATATTATTGATATTGGTGTCATTTTAAAGGGAATATCATGTACTATTATAATATAAAATAGTTGTCTTTTAGACTTTTCTTTTATTTATTGTGTATTGTACTTTTCTTGTAAAACTCGAAATAAAAAATAAATACGATTTTTTTTTTGATATTCCCATTTTTAAGCTTTATTTTCAGCCTTTATTTTTAATTTGACTAATTTTCTTTTAACAAAATTAAATTTTGAATTCTTTGAGTCATTTGAGAATATTTTTTTTTAATCCAGCTATAGTAGTTATTCAGTAGTAATCGTTTTTGTCAAGAGAGTCTCGCACGGTCGTAAAAAAATTGTGACATTTAATGCATGGACAGGTCAGGTGAGAATCACTCGCGTGCGGTGGACGGTTAAGTGGCTAAGTATGTATAAAAAGGGTTATTATAATATTAAGGAATTTATGGATGATAATAAACCCTGGGAATGAGGTGATCGCTGCCAAGCTATTCTTAATTTGTTGTTGTTAATTGTGTAATATACATGATTGCAAGCTGTTATTTTTAAACAATGTCCCGTTGGGTTTCTTGCTGGTTCTTCCCAGGACAGCGGTTTTTTTTGGATGTAATTAAACAAAAGAGTGACTTTCAATAAGTAATATTTATAATCTATATTGGATAAAAAGTTTCTGTTTCTGTTTACTTAGTCATGTTTTCGTAATTGTCATTTTTATTCAAAAATTAATGAAGTATCATCAGCAAAAAAGGTTATCCCACTTATTTATTTTTATATATATTATTACTTTTGATAGTCCTAACTATCAATAGTATCCAACAATTACCAGAGAGACGGCTGAAATGTTTGCGAACATTTACAAATAACTTTACAGTCCATCACAAGTCTAAAATACACAAACAATGGTCCAAAATGTGAATTTAAATATAAAATTAAACAATTCCAAAGATATATTTAATCATTTTCACCTGTGTAGCAGCTTGCTGAGTAGTAGTTTTGATAGTATTACTGACATTTTTTACAGCCCCAACTGTTTTATTCAGGAATGCAGAATTTTCAAACAGGCGGCTACCCATTTTTCTGTTTATTGTTTTATTTGAACTTGCCACAGAACTTGATGAATTATGTTTTGTGCAAGGGCACAATTCGATTTCTTGGTTTGTAACTCCCATATTCAGAAAACATATTGATTTTATTTTATATATAGTATGATGAAAGTAAATTTGACCCACTGGAATACTCTCTTTTATTATCATTAAGCGTGGTTCATATATGTTGGAATGTTCTACTTTGCCAACAATACCTTCCGTTATGCCTAAGCATTCTATATCTTCGATATCGGACAAGTCCCAAGCTAAAACAAATAAAAAAAAATTATAGCAAATTGACAGATCTTAAAATATTTTTTTCATAATTATTTCAATAGTAATATTATCTAAAAAGGGAAAGCATTAAGTGTATCATACAATTTAAATGCTTTAAAAAATAAGAACAATATATTTATCATAAAAAAATTAAAAGGAAACTAATACCTGATCGAACTGAAAATGTCCCTGTTACGCGATTCCACCATAAACTTGACTCATTTCTTACAAATATATAATAAAGCTCAGATCTAAATAGTTCCATTTTGTGTAAATTTTATTTCACGTTCGCATTCTTAGCAATAATTTCATTGTGTTTATTATTGTTGTAATTTGTATCTAAATCTAATTTGACGTTTTTCAATCGAATACATTTTGATGGGGGAAGGGAAGGGGAGGAGCGCAGACTGACAGTTATTTTCTGTAGGTTGGTAGCTAAAGTTGACGTTGAAGTTGTTTTATATACTTTTAACAATCAATCAAAATGGTTATAATTTGCAGTTCTTTACATATGTTTGGGGTAGTTCATTACCTAAGAACATTAGTATATTCGGCAGATTTCACCTAAATTTCAACAAACCATTTATCGTCTTGATAGTTTAATCAACTCAATATCAAATACAATAAATTAAATATTCATTAATACAAAATTAAAGGTTTAAATCTTTAAAAAGAAAATAATTAAAGCAGCTTTTTATAAAAACGAATTATAATAACGAATAGTCTCTTTTCTAAAACTATTGCATAAAAAGGAACGTTACCCAACGCATTATAATTTTGACATGTTGGCAGTAAATTTTTATTTCCGGTTACATGAAATGTTATTTTTGTTATAATTTAGATTGATTTATCTTTTTGTAATATCATAATTAGAAATATGGATTGGCAACTAACGTGTCGAGTATGTTTAGAAACTGGCGATATGGTTTCTCTATTTGATTGGGATGAAAATAATGAGCAACTTGCAGACAAATATTCCTACTGCAGCGGTATAGAGGTATGGAAAAATTGCCACACAAAATGGTTGCGATGGCCACCCTATAATTTTTTCGTACAATAATGTTGCTATATTGTTTCATTTGTGATGTTTGAAGATTTTTTGCTGACATCCCAGGTTATTAAATTTTGTAATACAAGTTTTATCTAAATGTTTTTAACAATTTTAGGTTACTAAAAATGACGCATTACCTACACTTATTTGTCTAAATTGTGTGGATCGTCTAACATTTGCTTATCAATTCAAACAACAATGTATTACTTCTACGGAAACATTAAAAGAATGTCTCGAAGAATTTACGAAGAGCCAGGCTGAAGTTTCAGTACCAAAAAAAGAAAGTAAGTAAGACTGGAGTCATTATTGTTTTTAGTTACATCTAAATTATTTTTGTGCAAAGCTGGCCTGCAAAATATCTGCTATTTGTTTTGTTTTCATTTAATACAACTACATAGCACATCATTATAGCACATAACATGCTTTTTAATTATTTTTGGATGCTACAAACATATTTTTTTTATAATATTTCAGTTAGTGATACAGAAACAATAACAATTAAACAAGAGAATGGGTTACTCCTTCAGTATGAACTCCCAGTGGAACATGATCCACAGGCCCAATGGACCCGAACTGTTACAAAGACTCCAAGCAGTGCAGTTATTACTAAAGCACCAGGTCCAAGAAAAAGGGGACGACCAAGGAAATATCCTAATGAACAGGGACAAATCGGTAAGCTGTAATTTAATTATGAAATGACAATGATATTCATGAAATGTTTTTGAAAAATTTGAGTTGGTGATCTTGTAGCAAAAGTTTAAAGAATTCCATTGTTATTAAAGACAATACTAGGTATTCATTGTTTTATAATGGTAAATATTAAGTATGTACAGTAGAATCTGTTTATTATTATGATGTAATTACACAGCAAAGTTTGGTTTTCATATAAAATTCTTTATAATAAAGTCGGATATAATGACTTTGCCTATAGTGACATATTGCTTATTGTGACCTATTTTTGCTAAATTGTGTCCGGTTATAGTGACAGACATGATTCCTAACACCTTCGGCAGTGTTCAGGAGCGTCAATTGATACCTGACGACGTATGGCGCATGCATGGCTTTTTTTGTTTTGAGTCTCAGTGGGTAATTGATTGTTGAATGTCATGGCATTGTTTGTTAGTGATTTGTGAAAAAAAAATCTCAACGTCAGTGGACTTTGCCCCTCTCCTATAAAAATAAAAACCAGTAAGTTTAGAAAATGGAGAATCCAACTCATCTCACGCAAGGGAATTTGGGGTTGGTCACTCGACAATCTTAATTATTTTTAATAACAAGAATTTATTATTAAGAATTTAAGTTACTTTAATTAAAGATTTTTCTCTATTAAAATAAATACATAATAACAAAAACTGGACTTTCTATAAAATGCTTTATATGACGTCCGCTTAATATGACATGTTTGTTAGTTCCCTTCGATGTTATTATAAACGGATTCCACTGTATATCAATAAAAAAATCGAAATGGTAGTACAGAATAAATAATACTACAAGAACAGAAGGATCACTCTCTGATAGCAAACTTGCCAGTTTACAACCTAGTTATAACGTCTCTAATGTTCATAATACTTTGCATCAATCCTTTGCCAAAATAGCTTACCGATTATATAGTAAAAAAATTTTGATGTGGTGCGCATATTAAATCAAAATGCATCGTACATATACGTGCGAGAGTCTGTATCACTTAGCCCTTTACACGCCTTTGTTAAGGCCGCATCTACTGTAGGGTTAGGTGTTGTCTGAAAACAAATTGAATCCTTTGACATTAGTTGATAGTAGAATATACCGAGGGAACAATGTGAGTAAGGATAATATGCAACATCAAGAAAAATTAAGATTATAAGAATGTGAACGTCTTTGAAACTCAGATAATTTACCTACTTACCATTTTTAACCGGCTTCAAAAAGAGGCGGAGGTACTCGATCTGACTGTATTTTTTATGAATGTTACCTCAGAACTTTTTCCTAGGTGAACCGATTTTGATGATTCTTTTTTTATTTGAAAGCTGGTGCTTATAATATATATCTCATATAAATTTGATCAAGATCTGACCAATAGCTTTGGAGTTATCCTTAATAATGCATATTAATATTGAAGTCGGTTGAATGAAACTTTTCATTTCATTATTTGTCTCTCTTCCTCTCTTTTTCAAAAACCTCCACACTAGGATTTTCTTTTGTATCGCGGGGGCAGTTTACATACATAGATTTCACAAGGACAAACATCCAGACCCAGGAGCAATTATTTGTAGTTCATATAAATATTTGCTCCATGTGGGACTCGAACCCGTGGCCCTTATCACTGTAACTCATTGCTAAACCACTGCGCCACAGAGCCGTTACTTGTCTGTTTCACATTTTTTGCTTTTTACAATAAAAGAGTGGCAATGAGAAGTGCTGCTATTTCCAATCTCTTTCTTCTATAGACCAAGTGTTAAACTTTTAGCCAGTATATGCTGATCTTGCATTAGTAGGCAGTCAATAGTAATGGGAGGTCTACTTACACTGAACCGTTTTTAAGGTCATTGGCATTATACATGAGATAATCAAAAACTTCGAAGCTCTGGTTGGGTCACTAATCAAATAATAAATCTTTCTAGATCTACCTATAAATAATAATATCTTAGCTTACGGCTCCGTGGCGCAGTGGCTTAGCAATGAGTTGTTGTGCTGGGGGGCGCGAGTTCGAATCCCGCACGGAACAAGTATTTGTATGGCCTACAAATAATTGTTCCGGGTCTGGATGTTTGTCCTTGTGCAATTTGTGTTTGTAAACTGCCTCCACGATACAGGAGAAAATCCTAGTGTGGGGGTAACGTTTTTAAAAAAATAAAATAAAAACAGTATCCTTAGGAACAGTAAAGAATGAAAAGTCGACTTTCCTATTGTTATTTACACACCTATATGCTATGCAGTAACCCTTTGCTTTTTGAGAGGCCATACTTGAATAAAAACTCAAAGTTAACGTAAAGTGCGCGTCAGATCGAGCGCTAGTGTGATAACCTCTCGGAATTAGCCTCTAGTAGGCAGTCGCGCAGCGTAGGTATATCTTCATATATAGTGTATTTTCATGCCTAAAGCGAAGAGTGAGACAAGCCTGATGGTAGTAGGAATATAATTTGTAAAAATAAATGTGATTAATGATAACAATTAATGTAAACACTATTGTACACCTCGAATGTGAAGCAAAACAGTTTGTGCTTTACTATTAACTTGACAAGGTCAAGCTAACCCGCTCTCATAAATAAAATTTTTAAAATATTCTCAGTCAAGGCCACAAGAGATGCATCAAGAATTTATATGGAGTAGCATATAAATTGTTTATGCATCTAATATTAATTGACACATCACACAATGCATATCTAATTATGAAGAAAACTATATTTATTAAGGCTAAGTCGTATGTTTACTAACTATTAGTCACAAAAATGAGATGACATTTTTTGCACTCAAATAAAGATACATAATATTCTGAAGCGGTGAGTGCATTCTTCTGCTCTGACAGACATGCCAGATGGTCATGGGAAATGTTTAAAACGGTTATAGATGATACTCCAGTCATTGCTGCGATCGGTTTTTTCGTTAGAAGAGCATTTTCAAAAACAAGTTTTTCAACTTTTTCGGCAATGTCTGAGGAAGTCGCATCAATCGGTCGGCCTGAGCACTGATCCTCTTCATTTGAGTTTCTGCCTTGCTTGAAAAAGTTATGCCTCTTATAAATCATCGTTTTTCCAGGGCAAGAGCCCCCTAAACAGATGACATCTTTTACATAATGATATGTGGTGTTTTACCTTGCTTAGTGAGGAGCTTAATCATGACGTGAGACTCAATTTTCTCCATATTTAGTGTTCACTTACTGATTGACTTTTTTATCCTGTGATATCTCATAGGTTAATGAACCAATCTGGCTGACACTTGGTATTTATAGTTGTATTGAGTAGTGACAGTTAAAAAAAAACTCCCCTCCCCTCCATTCTGTATACTTTTTGGCACTCTCACGTATGTCCTTTTAATACATACAGTGATTATGATGACATGCATTAAAGATTTTATTGAAAAATTTTAAGTTTTGTTATTTTGGGGTTACTGGAAGCAATTGTTGTGGCTCCATTTTTTAAAACATACTATTTTTTCATTGAAATACATAAAGATATTTTCATTATAAATATAATTTGCAATTTATTCATTAATGGATATAGTCAAACGAAACTGTTGTTACCCTATGCAATTATAGGAGTATGAGCGTATACGAAGTGGCACATCTCTATCGATGTCCCGACAAGTTAATAATGCTATGATCTCCAAGATAGAACATGCAAACAATAAACAACTTTTATAATAATTTTATTATTTTTCAGATGTTTCACCATACCAGCGCAAAAAACCAAAGGAGTCACAAAAGGAGGAAGAATCTCTTACATCACTGCTTGCATCGGGCTCATTGGATCTAAAAGAGGAGCCTTTAGATGATGAAGAGCCTTTTGAAGCAGATGGTAAGTACACATATAATCTTTTGTTAAAAATAAAAGATTAACATAAACATTACATTTTTTCACTTATGTTAATGATTGTACTATATTTCTGTAAAGGTTATGACGCAACTGATGATCCTGATTTCAACCCTGCAACTGAAGATCCAGATTCTGAACCAGAGATTAAGAAAGAGGTTTCTACTTTCTATTAATACTGACTATGTTATACATGATTATCATTGTTGTTTTTTTTATACTTTATTGCGATATATGTTTTAGAACTAGCTTGTGGGTTTAAATTAATTTCAATATTTTTTTCTTTTTAGCAAACACAACCAAGAAAACGCGGTCGACCACCCAAAGTCCGCATAGACTCAGCAAAGACAAAATCGGACGACGGTGAAGATGTACTGCTAAAGGAAACAATCCTGGCTTTCTCTGAGCCCATTCCAGACCATATATTGAACCCAAAGCCCAAGAAAAAGAAACCATATCAGCAAAAAAAGAAATATTCATATGAAAAAACGTAAGAATAATAATAAAATATACCCCTAATGCTGTAAATTTTATGCCTTGTAAACGGTAGCAGCCATCAACAAGAGCAGAATCAAAATGATACTTTACATGTTTATATGAACAGCTCCAATTTGCCCCATTTGTTAAAGTTATTTTTTTTGTAGTGGTAAGGGGGACAAACAAGCATACACTCCATGTGGTGGTGAATGGATACTATGATCTATAGACACATAGCCTATAGATCATGTTGATGGCATTGTTCTTCCCCAGTCCAGTTGGCTCATTCACACTTATTTATGGCTCTACAACAGGGTTTACCAACCTTTTATTGACCAGAGACCACTTTGATTTCTTTGTTATTAGCAGGGACCACAGGGTGAAAGAAGAACATATGTCAATTTAACAATAAATTTTTATCACAACTTTTAACATAATTATATGATAAACAGAATAGAAGCATTCAGCATTATAATTTGTGTAATTATTGTAAAAGAAATCATACATGTTTGGTATAAAATTGCCATTTTGGTTGCGATGCGACACGCGGTGTTGCACTGCCAGCGTGACGAGAAAATAATAAATGTGCTTAAAAGGATTAGGTAGGTAAAATATTTAAATATTTTGCAGATCATATTTAAACTCTTGCGGACCATTGGCGGTCCGCAGACCACTGGTTGGAAATCACTGTTCTACAACGTATAATATTTAGGTTAATTTATTAAAAATATGAATACCTAGGACTAGGGCTTAGTTAAAAATAGAAAAAATTGTGTGTGTAGTTCACTTTTTCCCTGCCTTAAGTGAACACACATACATTTTTTGCACACCATTGTAATAGTACCTTTTGAATGATGTAAGATTCTTACACTCCTTTTATATGAATAAAGCAAACCTCCCTGTGCTGCTACTGTGCTGTGCTGTTCAGATGTGAATTTGTATGGGCCAATAAAAAAAGAAACAAGAAATTGTCATGCAGATTATGGAATTTGCAAACATTTGTTTAAGATTGTAAAGGTTTATATTTACATGTTATTGTATTTTTTCAGACACACATGTGAAACATGTGGTTCTTCATTTACGTCCAATGCTTCCCTCCAGGCGCATATACGACGTCATTTGGGCATAAAGCCTTTTGTCTGCAGGTATGTTTGTAATTCCAAGTGACCTGTTATTTTTGTAGTATTTTCTTGTCTCGTTTATTTTAATCTATAAAATAAAATACATAACATAATTTGTTTGTCACCCTTACAACTTACAGTCCACCCGATGGTAAATGGATGCTGTAGCCTATAGATATCTAAACCTATCCTCGATTACGAATCAAAATGCAGATGCGTTGTCACCCATGAGGACTGAGATGGAATGCCTCGTTTCCAGTAAAAAGGGTTTCCGGTTCCCTACACTCACCATACGAAACACAGCAGCGTTAAGCTGCTATATTACGCTGGTATTCTGTGAGTGCGTGGTCCTTCCCCGATCGTGCCGACCCATTCATGCTACTAATATAGCTGCAACAGGGCTCTACCACGTATGATGGGCTGATGATGATGAAAAACAAAAAATATTTATTTTTATGCCAAATAACACTAGCAATATTTACTTTGTTTGCCTGCACTTCACTGTTTATAGAGCTGGCAGTAAATTTATATAAAAATTTAAAAACAAACTTCATGTGGATGTTTCAATTTGAATTCCATAATTATATATAAATTAAACTTCTAGTTCCTAATTATTATCTAATAAATACATAAATTTATTTCATATAGTCACTTCAAATTCTTCGTCAAGGGTGCGGGTGAGGTTGCTTTATACGTTTTTTTTAAAATTAAATTTTGATTTATTAAATGTAATTCGGATGCATCTACACCTGCGCCCAAATACCATAGCTATACCTTACCGCACTCGCTGATATAAACGCACCCGCACCCGCAAATATGTATATAAATAATAATATGTTTTATAAAGATAATGATAAAGAAATATTTCTTGCAAAAGTATGCTCAGTTTTAAATAATATATATAAAAATTGTTGTGTTGTACTTTTACCTATGTCATGGAATACGAGTGAATTTAATTGCTATGCTTATAAAAAAGTAATTACACTAATTTAGTCTATATAAAAAAGGTCATATGGTTTAATTATTTTTAACACTTTAATTACGAAAACATTTGCTTCGCGAAAACGTATAACGCAACAAATATTTTATTTATATAAACATGAAACGTAATTTTCGTGTTAAAGTTTCAACATTATTGATATTGCTAAATTGAATTTATACCGTTTTAGCGTTTGCGGGTACGCGTGCGTTTTGAATATGGAGTTGCGACGTCACATGATGCGTCACACGGGCGTGCGTCCGTACAAGTGCCGCATTTGCGACCGACGCTTTGGTGACTTTGGCAGTCGGCAGAAACACGAGAGGCGAGTGATGCCATTCTGCTATTCATTATTAAATGTATCTTCAGTTTACTCAGCGAGCGCAGTATCGTGGCAGCGGATTAGCAGCGTTTGAGGTGACTAGTTGAAACGAGAGTTAAATGTGGGAAGAGTAGTAATAGTACAGTGTGTAACAGTGTAGTAGTAACATATGGTATATCTATTATATATAATTGTAATAGATTAAAATCTTATCATCAAGTAATATCCATTATTAACAATTCAATATAGTCAGAAATTTTATTTATTTATTTATTTGGATACCCTCAGCTAGCAATAGAGTTGGTAGAAAGTGAAAGACCCACAGTAATTGACTAAACTTAACAAAATAAAATAAAAATATTGGCTAATACTTAATGTAGGGAACATTAAATTAAATTAAAACTTCGCATAATGCGAATAAAATTAAGTATTGATGGTTAAAACAGCAAGGAATGCAAACAGCCTGACATTGTTGCAGATGCTACTGAAATTGTTCATTTTTGTCAGAGGAAATACATTGTCATTTTCTTATAGGCTTGGAGTACGATACTTATACGCTGTTATATATATTTCATTGTGATGAATGTAAAATTAAATAAACAATTTAATTAAACATTACATAAAACTAAATTATATTATTTAACATGTGTTTGTTTATTCATTATATATTTTATATGAATAAAATATTTTTCCGTTACACAAAAAAAATGCATCATCAAATTTGTTCTTAAAATTCTCTCTCCCACATTTAACTTTCCTTTCAATATTTTAATTTTTATATAACTTCGATCTCCATGCACTATGATTACACAGCGTATGTACATTCGCGTGCGTTACAAATGAGGCTCTGAAGAGGCACATGCTGCGCCACACTGGGGAACGTCCGTATAAGTGCCGAATATGCGAACGAACTTTCGGTGATTATGGTACTAGACAGAAACATGAAAGGTATTGTTTACACATATTTTATATTGTTGTAATAGATTATATAGATAACATTAGTTGTTTTTGTGGATAATACTAAACTGCTTCAAGTATTGAAATAAGATTTCTGGATTAACGCATTTCAAAGTAAAACACACCATCGACAACCTGCTAAACATCGGAAGACAGTTTTATTACTTACCATAGACATAAAAAAACAACCATAAACATATTTGAATTTTTTACTAGTATCACAAACATGCTCATAAAACACTTGATGGTAAGTTGCTATTGCATCATATTGACACCTGCAGGTAACTTGAAACGAAGGCATAACTAAGATAAAATGCTACATAGCTTGCAATTGGACGTAGTTATACAAAAACGTTCCAACCCACAAGTCATTCAAAATGAGTTAAATATACAGATCTACTTATTTTGACATCTTCACGAAAATGTCAAAATAAGTAGATCTGTATATTTAACTCATTTTTGATTGTCACTCTCATGACTGACTTGACATTGGTAGAATTCTTTTAAGAGAAGCCAAAAAGTAAAGAAGAAGAATAAGAACTCATTTTTGAATGACTTGTAGGTTGGATCGTTTTTGTATAACTACGTCCAATTATCAACGTGAATCAATGGTGAATAAATAAAATGTAGGTATGGCAGTATTAAGATGGAAATTGTGTTCGTATTAATTAGGTCTCCAGTTTGTAGATTTTTTTAATTAGTTTATTGGTTACACTCTAAAAGGCCTGTACACAGACTTTCCCCATAGATTATTAGTAAAGTAAGAATATTTGCCGTAGTTGTAGGGGTTATATTTGCCATAGTTGTCACGCTTGACAGGTGAGTTGTCAACTATTGTTTTTATTTTTACTTTGAGTAGTTATCAGGAAGATACTGCTGTGCATCTCCTGTTTTATTCCCCTCTGTCGCCTATTATGACACCATTAAGGGTTGATTTTGGGTAGTGAATTCGGTTACACCACCACTACATGGCACCTGGAGTTATTAGGCCGACGTCAATTTAATTTTCATTACCCTGTTATGTTACAGCTGTAGTAGATTTATGTTCAGAAATGCACTTGTTGGTCATAATGAATGCATGAATGAATGATAAATATATGATGGCTCCGTGGCCTGGTGGCTTAGCAATGAGTTGCGCTGAGGGCCGCTGGTTCGAATCCCGCATGAAACATATGGCCGTATGGCCAGTATGGCCTACAAATAATTGTTCCGGGTCTGGATGTTTGTCCTTGTAAAATTTATGTATGTAAACTCCCACGATACAGGAGAAAATGCTAGTGTGGAGGTAACGTTTTTAAAAAAATTAAGAATAAAAAAACAACAGAAAAATTATAAATGAACACACGTTAATTTGTTTTATTTATTTACAGGTTACACATGGGACTTCGGCCTTACCAGTGCTCACTGTGTGGGAAGGCCTTCACCTACTCCTATGTGCTGGCTAACCACATGCTGACTCATACTGGGGAGAAGAAATATTCGTAAGTGTATATCATATTTAATACATAATTATAATAATTGCGCAACTACTTACTTTGTGTATTGAGTATATATTGGTGGTAGAACCTTTTTGCGTAGGAGTCATCGATCATTAATAAAAAAACTAGATAAAAAATCCCATGCAAAAGTTCTCTAAAAACTGTCTCCAATTGTTTTGATGTAATTCTAGTTGAAATAAAAATACATTAATGTAAATTCAACATTGAATGCATTGCCTAAAGTAATATTCACAAAGCTACACACAAATTAAAAGCGCACCCAAATGTTCGACTGGGCGTGGGCGCTCATTCCTCAAGGAAATTTTTTGTCACTGATTGTGTGTCTAGTTTTTTTATAGTGCTTGATGGTAGGAGTCCGTTAGGTAGGCATCATTGTCTTACCTGTTTCTGCCACCAATCAGCTGTGTGTTCACCACCGTGTTGTGGTCCAAAGGGTCTCAGAGAGTATATTTACAGCTGCGAGGCATTCCATCTTAGTCCGTAGTGATTATAATGCATCTGTAGACATTTCTTTGTTTATGGTTGGTTACAATCAGATGGATTGTTAGACAACTTATTCACATTTCGATTATTAAGTGAGGATTTTAGATTAACCATCACTATTTTTTTTTTAAATACAAAAACTGAAAATCTGAGGGATATCTTTTAAGTCAAATATAACTGCCATTCTGATAACGATTCCTGCCAAGGATGATATGTGAGGCTATTGAAATTAAAAAAACATCCGAATTTCAATAATGAGGAAGTCTGGGTACTACCACCTGCTTGGGATCCTGTAATTAATAGAATTAATACTAAACCCAAGCATACCCTGCAAGACTTCAAGACAGTAAGTTCATTCTGCGTAGATCGGACCAAAACTAATAATTAAAAAGCTGAAGGTAGTCCGGGTTAACTCTGACATCAGGACGTCAATCACCTCAGTCGTCCGTGACCATGGGTGCTGGAAAGCACCCGAAACGTCGAGAATTAAAAATAAGTATATTTAAATGCGATAAAATCCGTAAAATTAGTTTTATTCAAAGCTTATGACGTTATTTAATATTTAGAATTATTGACAAGGTTTAATAAAATTTTTACAGCCTCACAACAAGTAGAATAGATTGTCTTTTTATCAACAAACCTAATTTTAATTTCAAGTCAAAATACAATTTCAAAGTCTAAAGTTCCCTGCTGAGCATAGGCTTCCCCATAGATTGCCTCATAAGGCAAGGCATGGGCCGCGTTTGGCAGGCGGGTTGGAAACAACACGTTTTTTATGTTTTTATTGTTATTGGGAAGATGCTACTGCCCATCTTCTGGTTTGTTTCCTCCTGTCACTTTTTACAACACTCTATTTTCCGTGACCATGTACCCGGGATGTAAGAATACCCACTACCCTAAATATGATTGGAGACCAACATATTCTGACATGTTTCGATATATTTCAGATGCGAGCCTTGCAATAAGAAGTTCACAAAGGCACACCACCTCAAGTATCACAACAAAATCCACCATAAGGAGCTTTATATACAGCAGCAATTAGAGCAAGAAGCAAAGAAGATAAGACAACAGTTGAATGTTAATAATTTGTCTGGAGTTATATCTGGGCAGATTGTTGACGGCACTTTGCAACTTGTGCAAGCTTCTTCTGAGGGTAAGTATATTTTTATTATGAAGTCACCCATTTTTGTATTTATATTTAGATTAAAAATCCCAGGCTAACTTAGATGCGCAAAAACAAAGATATTATTTAATCAACTTCATCTTTACAGCCTGTCAAAAATCTGAACTAAATCTCCCTCACGATTGCTTTATTGGGGAATATTTGCCATAGTTGTCACACTTAGTAGGCAGATTGGCAGATTGGTTATCAGTAAGATGCTGCTCTCTATCTCCTGTTTTTTTTTCTCTTTTTGTCTACTCCTACTCCCATGGGATGATATGGGGTAGCTATGTGTGAGCGAATAGAAGCACTGTAAGCCTGTCCTGCGTTGTGACCAAAATTCGGTCTGGACGACATTATATGTAGCGTGGCGAGTCGTGAGCAGTGTAGACAGTACCTGCAGTGCATTTTCAATATACTGCTAGCGAATGACACTTGAATATCCACAAGATGACGACTATTAACTAACGGACCAATCATGTGAAAGAATGTTCACATTACCCACCCTCCAATTTTGTACTTCACCAACGAAATTTATAAATCGACTACTGCGCACGTCAAGGTTGTATGTAGTAAATATTGTTTTAATTATCAGATGGTGAGCAAGAAACACAAATGGAGGTGGTTGAAGAGCAAGATCAGGACGATAACGAAAAGGAGACTAATCGCGCTGTTGCTGATATGCAAGCGGTATGTACATATTAAAAAATCTTAGAAGGAATTAACTTTCCTGGCAGACAGTTTTCTGCCCCTTCTGGTTGGTGGTGCTATGAGTGTGTGAATGAGACCTCAATCGGTCAAGTTGTTCAGAAGTTACACAATCACTAACAGTTGCACCAATGATTACATATACAGGTGTCTGGTAATTAATGGATAATCTTGAAAATGGTTTACAGCAGAACTAATGGTCTTTCAAAAAATATCCCAAGCAGTAGACATGTGTCATTCATTCATTATTAGTGACCCGATCATTCAAGTATTGCTACATCTTACGAACCAGGTCATTTAGGTTGAATATTCAAATGGTTCATTTCGAGTATACTGAGTTTACCGAGTTTTATGAGACCCGTTCGATAATGTCTGTCGTCGGACATTACTATACTCTTTGGTCGTGGGTCAATCGTTTGATCCGGAACATTTAAAAAATGTAATTGCAGTCATCAACAAGACATGTTTTTAAAAAAAAATACACTAAAAATTTACACTATAAGCAAAAAATTAATAATAAAAATCGTGAGAAAACTTGCATGTCTGAGACATTAAAAAAAATATTTCGAAGACGTGAAGTCTGCCGACACGAATTGGGGCAGCGTGCAGATACTGATTGAGTCCCTTGCCTTTAAACCCTCTCAGAAATGAGAGGAGGCCTGTGCCTAGTAGTGGGGCATATTAATCGAGGATATAGATGTAGAGCCGTGGTAGCTCAGATGGTTAGCGCTCGCTATAAGCTTCACAGTACTCGAACAACCCGGGTTCGATCCCCGCCGGCACCAATGAAATTGTTAATTGCAATTTTAAGCGCTGATTTACCACGTGCTCGGCGGTGAAGGAAAACATTGTGAGGAAACCTGCATGTCTGAGAAATAAGAAAAAATATATTTCGAAGACATGTGAAGTTCGCCAACACGCATTGGGGCAGCGCGGCGGACATTTCCTTGCCCTAAAACACTCAGAAATGAGAGGAGGCCTGTGCCCAGCAGTGGGACGTAAATAGGCTGCAACTTTACTTTACTTTAGACGTAGGTGTCCTACGGGCCACAGCATTCACGTAGCATCACAAGGTTTGTGTGTTTGTCACCTTAGTTTGCGACTGTCACATGGTTTTTACGGCTATTTATGTATATAGATTTCTTTTCGTTTTGCCATCCTGCAACCTTAACGATTTGATACATTTTAAAGTTATTGATTCTATACTTTATGGTAATATTATCAGGTACGAAGTTATCAAAACATAATATGGTGCTTGCTTGGAGCACCGTCTGACGAACATGATGTATTTATTACTTTGACTACTGCAGTCAAGTTTTAGTTATTTTAAACAATATTAATTGTTTCAGGTCGTTCTTGATGCAGAATTTATAGAGGAAGAAGATAGCAAAGATCAATAAATCAAATATAGAATTAGCATTGTTCTGTAATTATTTACGTTAGGAATATTTAAATTAAGTTGTACATAGCTTTTAGAACTTCTATGTTGATTTTATAAGCACATAACTTGTTTATATTGTTGAAGTATAATGACTTGATGCTGTACAACTTCTGCACGGAGGCTGGGCTCTCGTTTTTAAGAATAGCGGTTGATTATTTTAGTAGGAGCCTTCAAATTCCAAGTTAAACACTTGAATAGCTCGTTTTTTTTTACCCTATATAACTGAGAATAAATTTTGTTATTTAATGGACTTTGAATTTGAATAATATTTTTATTTGCATTTGCATTGTTTTACTTATAAATGAAAATATAAATTAGCATTGTTGGCTGTAAGAAAAAAAACTACTAAGTGTAAGTTTAAATTTGTGTTAATATTACTAAATTTGTGAAAAACTCATGAAAACATTTAAAATGAATTGGCATAATTTTGCGTTTTTCTCATATAAAAAAATTCGTAGTGATTCCTTCCTTTTAAAGAACATTGACATTGCTATGTTAAGCGAGTGACCCGAGTTCGATTCTCACTCGTAGTATTGTTAAAGGAATTTTAAGCTCTGATTCTCCACATGCCCAATGGTGAAATGTAGAAACCTTTTATATATGATTTAACGGTTTTCCTGTCCGCGAAATAAACACCATAGATAAACACGCAAGGGAGAAGACCGTCAACACGCATTAGAGCAGCAGAAGGGACCAGCTCCATTACCTTCTTAATAAACGGCACGCCCGTACCCAGCTGTGAGATTTATATTAATTGTTACTCTGTAACTATATAATATACAGCACAGTTTTTATTAAAATGATATACTATCTGTAAATTTATCAATATAGGCAGGTTACGCTTAATATAGTATGTAATTAAGGTTACAATATTTAAATAAACAATCGTCGTCTTGAATTGTTTTATTTTTATTTATTATCCGTATTGCTAGATTTTTTACTGGAAACGAGGCACTCCATCTCAGCCCGCAGAGGTGACAATGCATCTGCGTTTTCAATCTTAAGGGTAAATGTAGATAGATGTCTATGGGCCTCAGCATTCACTTACCATCAGATGGACTGTGTTCGATTTTCACTCACATTTTATAAAAAAAGAAACCAGTCTTCCTCGCACAACGTCCTTGTGGAATCGATTATCATCAGCGATTTTTCCGGACCGATACGTCTTAGGGACCTTCAAGAAAAGAGCCTGCTACTTTTTAAAAGGCCGGCAACGCATCTGCAATTCCTCTGGTGTTGCAGTTGTTCATGGGCGGCGGTAGTCACTTACCATCAGGTGAGCCGCATGCTCGTTTGCCCCCTCTCCTATAAAATAATAATAAATAAAATAAAATAAATAATTTTTAATTATAAGTGTAGTAGCGATGTAAGAGTATCCATTACCACTTAACGTCTTATTTATAGATTGGTACGTGGCACTTCATAGTAAGTGGATACTGTGGCCCATAGATATCTACTGAGATCTCGTAAAATGCGACAGAGAGGGAAAAGGAGATAGGTAACAGCATCTTCCTGATAACATTTCAAAATAATAAAAAACTACTGTTGCTAACCCATGTGGCAATTATGGCATACTCCCCTATGAGGCGCAAACTATGGGGGAGGCCTATGTTCATTAGTATACTTTCATAGGCCGTAACGGATGGACGGATGGAGTGATTTTTGGATGTAAAGCTAATATGAGGTTTATATTATAATTATCATTTTAATAAAATATGAAGTAAACACATTTTGATTGGGCACTATCTTAACATGAGATTCAGAAATTTTTATAGTGTCAAAGGATTTATTTCGTGGAAAAATATTTTAGACCTTATTTTAATGAAATTAGCACTGACATTCCCTTAAACACGAATAGACCGAAACGTCTCGCGTGACACCGCGGCACGCCGCTGCATCACGTGAAGCGCATAGGTTACATTATATTGTTAAAAGAATGTGAGTGCTAAGTAATTGAAACAAAATTGAATTTTTAAACAGCACAGTGCTAAACTGAGTTAGCGTCCGAACGCGGCTGCTTTTGTCACAACGCGGATTGCCACAGGATCCTTTGGAATGCCACGGGATACCACAGGATTCTTCGGCAGGCCGCGGGATGCCACAGGATCCTTCGGCATGCCGAAGTATGCCAAGCCGTGTCGTCTGTGAGCGCAGCCCTAAGTGTATCCAATTGTTGCACTATATTTTTAAAGGTTATATTGTAAAATTGTATAGTTATACTCGTATGCGCAAACCAAAGAACATTTCATCCGATAAATAAAGAAAGGATCCAACCAAGACTCAACACATACTCGGGGTCAAGATAGCTGCTAAAGTTATTAAAAAAAATCCGGTTATTGTTATTAGGAAAACTGGCAACACCTGTGTGCCCACAGTCTATTGAGACAAACAAATTCCTAGGATTCTAATGAAATTTATAATTTTTATTGACTTCGTTTACGCTGATTGCAACTTCTGTCGACCAGTAGCCAAAAGCTGCTATCTGCTAAGAGTATTTAAAATATAAATTTTAGACTCCCATAAATACAAAATTTATATGGCAAAATTGGCAAAATGCTGTACCTGTATGATTGAAGCACTACCCAAGCAGCACACAAGCGTTATGAACATCAATATACCAGCCCATATAGAACTCAGAGTTCTTTTAGAAGCGTATAAGAGTGTCGAAAAGAAATTGTACCCTTATAAGAGTGGTTTATGAGTTATTATACAGCTCAAGCTGTATAAAGTCTGTATTATGGGATCTAACTAAGCTTAGGGTTCTTAATCAGAATATGAAAACTCTACTATACAACTTTAAGTATTTTGTAACACTTCAATCTGATTTTATCATTAAAGCTGTATAAAAGTTGTTTTTGCATGCTGTTACTTGCTTATTACAGCTTTAAGTGTTATAATAGTATCATTCAAATATTATTTCTGTACAATGGTGTATGTGAACTCCCTTCTAAAACATATTCTTATGGCGTAATTGTACACTCTTGTAAATACAGTAGTTTTATAACTTCTGTCTATGAAAGTGATATAAAACTAAAAAAATAAATACCTAACAGCTATAGTACAAATTAAGTCTGTATAAGTGATAGAATATCGCCATTTTGAATGCGTAATTGCGTGTTTAATATATTGTGCTATAGTGAACATATTAATTTGTTATCAATATGTGTAAAAAAAGAAAAAGATTTGATGCAGTTAGAAGAAGGATTAAAAGGGAATATTTAAATATTACAAATTATCAACGAAATAAAAGTGATACTGAAGAATATAGAAATACTTTAATAAATCAGACAAGTGACAGTCAAGCGTCAATCCCATCGACGGCTAAAAAAGAGGGTTCCGTAACAAAAACATTAAATAGTGTTAATCATGATCACAGTTATGTCAAATGTAAATTAGTTTTCGGCGCCTGATTATGATGATTTATCATGCAGCAGCACAAGTAGTTCTAATGATGATAACAGCGAATTTTCATAAAATCTATTATTTACCAGCAAATAAAGAATTGGGCCACAGAAAGAAATATATCTTAAGTAGCTTTAAATGATTTAGCTACAATTGCAAATTGTAGATTATGAGATATATTAGCATCTGATTGCTTTTTTGGCCATCTTAAAACGCCTTTTGATTCCCACAAACTTGATACAATGAAAATGCAAATTTTCCCTTTCTCTATTGTTTCCAAAATTTTAAACGGCATATTTTCCTAAAAAGTAAAATAAAACCAGTATAGATACACAACACAGTAAAATTACTTCTTACTTCTTAATTTTTTGATAGAAATCATATACAAGTTTACCGTAAATCTAATTTTGCACTTTTCTATTCACCAGTTATCACCGTCAAAACTCAACTCCAATCCAAGTAATATTAATATGTAATATAATCTTTCACTCACTAAATGTCGCCATCATTCAATAAAGTATATAAATAAATCTACTAAGTTATGTTTGTCATAAATTCGTTTGTGATACCGTTCTAACACCAATTTAGAACGTTTATCTTTAAAAGATACTTACAAGATAGTATTTGTATTGTAATAGTTTCCTTGTACACCAAATAACAGCTATTATACAGCCCCTTTTATGCTATAATACAGCTATGATACAGCCCCTTTTATGCTTGTACAGCTACTGTACAGCGCTACTAACGCATAAAGCTGTATAATTTATGCCAATTTTTTACTTATAAGAGCTGTATAAGCGCTTATACAGCCAGTAAATGCAGCCTCTAGTATAAAAAGGAACTCCAATACAGCTCGTATAGTAGGTTGTTTCGACCGGGGAAGCGCCACGCTCTCACATCGGCATAATGCTACTGTAATTGTTATGATTAGTGACGAGGCTCTCTCTCGGAAAACTATTTATTGGTGACGCAGCATTACATATTAAACCTCAGGAAGTACAACACATTGTATTTTTATTCTTAATCGATGATAGATGTACTTAGGTGTCTATCAAGAACGGACTACGGCATCTACTTACCGACCTGTGGACGCTGTCCGTTTGTAATTATACTTGCATAAAAATGAGAGGAGTCCTATAACCGTTTATAGGCTTTAAGTGTTGAAATAAATAAAGAAGCATTTAAATACCACCATCCCAATAATATATTCGTTATCGGCTTCCACAGAAATAAGTCTAAAGAATCACCATAGGTATTTTTCTAGATCCTCACTCGAGGGCTTGGAATATAGAAATATCATCATACATCATTCATCATTACAGTTGAACATAGGCCTCTCTCAAGGAATGCCACAAAGCATGGTCCTGAGCCACCTGCATCCATCGACTTCCTGCATGTTTTACCAGGTCGTCACTCCATTTAGGTGGGGGACGCCCTACACTTCGCTTGTCGGTACGAGGCCGCCTTTCTTCCCCATCGGTTGTTGGTTCTTCGAGCTGTATGTCCGGCCTATTGCCACTTCAGCTTGCTAATCCATTGGGTTGTGTCTGTTACTCT